GTCATGTACCCACTGTCGCGCTTCAAAATCCATTAACCAGAAGCCTGCAGGCCTTCTTCAACAGTTGCTCATCCCTTCTCGTCGATGGGCGCACGTGAGCCTCGATTTCATCACAGATCTTCCCCTTACAACGACAGGGCACGACTCGATCCTTGTCATGGTCGATTCCCTCAGCAAGATGGCTCACTTCGTTCCTGCAAAGAAATCTTTCACAGCAGCAGACACCGTGGAGCTCCTCGCAGACCGCCTTATCCGCTGCCATGGATTTCCAGAGGCGCTTATATCGGACCGAGACCCCCGTTTCCAGTCGGATCTTTCCTTAGTCGAGACGGCGGCGTTTAACATCAAACGGTGCATGTCCTCGTCCTAGCATCCCCAAAGCGACGGCCAGACTGAACGAGTGAACCGCACACTCGAGCAAATGCTTCGTACCTACATCCAATCTGACGAACGCGAATGGGAGCGTTTGCTTCCGGCCTTGGAACTTGCCTACAACACAACAAGTCATTCATCCACTGAGCTCTCTCCTTTCGAGGTCATGATTGGCGAGAACCCGTTGACGGCTGCACACCTTGATATCGTAGGCGCGGTAGCTCCTACACTAACTCCCCCGATGACTAAGCTTTTCCGACAGCTCTGCGACAGGGCACAGAGTCACATCCTGAAAGCAAAATGGCAGCAGAAGTATTACGCAGACACGAAGCGCCGAGCAGTGGAGTACGCGGTGGGCGACAAGGTCTGGCTCAGTAGCAAGCACCTACCGCCTTTCAACAGCTGCCCTAAGTTCGAGCCCCGTTACCGTGGACCCTTCGAAGTCATCGAACGCATAGGAACCGTCGCTTAACGTCTCGCTCTGCCTCCCACGTATGAATGCCATGACGTTTTCCACGTTTCGCAGCTAGTTCCTCACCGCCCCCGCCCTCCCGCTTTGGTTTCCTCAGCAGCCGATGCTGCCTGGCCTCCTATCCACGATGCAGCGGAAATTCCCACAGCGGAATACGAAGTCGACTATATTATGGACCAACGCGGCTCTGGAGATGCAGCCCAGTATCTCGTGAAGTGGCGCGGAGCCCCTGAAGATCACGCCACATGGGAGCCCGCGCATCACCTTACTGGCTGCCCGGCTTTGCTTCGCGCTTGGCGCCGCCGCCAACGAAGACGTCTTCAGGTTCGAAACAACTTGGGTCCTCCCGAAGCGTAGACGTACGGGTCCGCCACGTTCCAGCTCCTACAGCACGAGCACCCCTTCAATGCGGAGGGGGGAAGGAGCGCTGCGCACCGCGTGCGCTCACCACGTCAGCTTTGGAAAAGCACAGAGGTTGCAAAGGCAAAAATAATGCGTTGGGACAGGTCTCTTCAGTCCGGCAAGGGGGAAGTTGTAGTGCCTCAGCACTACAATGGGGCTGGCTAGTGTCCTAGAGATGATAGCTAGCTAGCGACCTGCAAGGGGCCGCGACACTGGAGGGGGACAGGACCCCCCCAATACATGAAAAAAATAAGAAAAACCGTTACTGAGTTCTAGTGAAAACGTGAATTGTGCGGAAATCGTGTGGAGACTGGGGCTGGCGATCGAGCCGGCACCAATGCGGACCTCCCCCCTAGGTCTAGGGGGTAAGCTCCAAGAAGGGAGCGAATCGAAGACAGAGAACACAGACACTTCTTGAATTGTCGTATTTCGACGGAATAAAGCTGTAAAGACCGAGAAATGGGGCTAATCTAGGTGTAGTATGTAGACCTGTAGAGGGACAGGGGGACAGGAAACAGCGTAGTCTCAGCAGTAGGCGCCGCGCACTACATGCGGG